TATTAAAATATATAGATCAAATTCATAAGCATTCAAAATACCTTTTAATATATACATGAATTTTTTTTTAAATAATGAAGATATGTTATCTTATCAAAAAATTATTATGCCTCAAGCAGTGCATGATAACTTATTTACAAGAAATATAATTCAAATTTTATGTTTCCCTCATACTCCACAACTTTTGAATATTTGATGGTGCCATTTAGAGGAACTTACCCCACTAAAATGCTTTTCCTCTACATTTTATTTCAAATGAAAAAATTAACCTCCTTAAAACACTTAGAAGACCAAAATAAACTTGGATAAGCTTGTCCCGAATTGAGGGATGAGTACTTAAAATTTAAATATACCAAGTAAAGCTCATTTATGATTGGTGGAGTTTAAAAGCTAATGATGAGGTTATAAACTAATGCACTATATTAGGATTTGATGTATTCATCTTATATATATGACTCTATATGAAAGCTCATGTATGGCCCCTTTTTCTTCAAAAGATGTTATGAAACAATTTGAAATCTTTGAACTAAATCCCTTATTGCTAGGGTTGACCAGACCAAGCAAAGAAAAGGGGATATTGGAAGATTGCATGATCTCAAGACCACTCTACTTTCTGGTTATTCCCTATAGTGCAAACTCGAATGAACCTCCACATTATTAGTAGATAATCACTTTCTAGAATCAGATACACATTTTCTCAGAGAAAAATAAATTAAATACACATGTATATCTGATATAAGATCAGGTAATAATAACATGTAAGCATTCAATCCTCTTAACAATCTCAAAAGGTCCAATGTACATTTGACTCAGCTTAGTTATTCTTTCAAATCTGTTGATACCTTTCATATGACTAACTTTTACATAAGAAAATTCACCAACCTAAAATTCCACCATCATGTGTTTCTAACCATAATATTTCTTCTATATATCATGTGTAACTCTCAATCTTTCTCTGATTAGATTTATTTTTGATGTAGAATCATTATAAAAGTAGATCATATCACCTATTTTTCCCCCACCTCTATCAAAGATAAAGGGTTTGTACACTTTCTCCCATACAGGGCTTCGTAGGATCCATTCCTATAATTGACTAGTAACTGTTATTATATGAAATCTCTATTAATAGGATATGATCCTCCTAATTACCACCAAAGTCTAGAACACAAAGTCTCAAAAAATTCTCTAGTACATTAATAGTCTTTTCAGACTGTTTATCTATCTATGGATGAAAAGTTGTATTGAAATATAATTTTTTACCCAGACCCTACTGAATGCCTCTCCACAATCTGAAGGTAAATCGACCATTATAATTGGATATAACCATCATTGGCACACCATATAATCTGATAATAACCCTAACATAAATTTGTGTTAACTTGTCAACCGTATCAATCTATCAGATCAAAATGAAATGTGATGATCTTATTAGATAATCAATTACAACCCAAATAGCATCATGCCATTGTCTCAATCTGAGAAAATCCATATGAAAGTCCATTGTCACTTCTTTCCACTTTCACTCTAGAATAGGTAACAATTGTAGTAGACTACTTGTTCACTACTGTTCTGAATTTACTAACTAATAGGCCTCACACTTCAAAATAAACTATGTTATATCCTTCTTCAATCCAATTAAACTAAAAGAGACCTTTTAAATCTCTGTACATCTTGCTGCTTCTAATATAAATAGTGCAACCCAAATAGTGTGCCTCGTATAGAATCTAAGCTCTTAGATCACTAACAGATGGAACATGTATGGAAAGTTTAGGCCTATAATTAGCTTTAATCTAACTACGTAACTTCAGATACTTTGTATTATATGAGTTTTGAGCTCCTTGAATTCTTTCCTGTAGAGTAGGATGAATAATCATCTGAGCTAACAAACTTGGATATATATTAGCGGATACCACCTTTATTTGAAGCTTATCCAAATCTCAAATAAGAAAGTATGCATAAGTAAGCATTAAAAAAGAAGTGCCTAACAACTTCCTACTCAAAGTATTAGCTATCAAATTCGCCTTACCTAACTGATAATGAATAGAAAATTTATAATCCTTATTCAGCTCTAACGACCTTCTCTACCTCAAATTTATATCCTTTTGAGTAAAAATATACTTCAAGCTCCGATGGTCAGTAAAGATCTTGCATCTACTCTGTACAAATAATACCTATAAATATTCAGTGCAAATATCACTGTTGCTAACTTAAGATCATGTATCAAATAATTCCTCTAATATGATTGAAATTACCGAGACTCCTAAGCAATCACCCTAATGTACTAACTCAGAATGCATCCCAAATTTCTCAATGATGCCTTATCGAAAACTTGAAACCCCTCTGAACCAGAGGGAATAGTTAAAATCAGAGCATAAGTTAAATGATTCTTCAACAGCTTAAAACTCTTCACACTATGGAGTATATATGAAAGCTACTGACTTCTAAACTAGTCTCGTCAAAGACAATGAAATACAGGAAAAATCGTGAATAAAATTCTAATAATAACTAACCAAGCCTAAGAAATTATGAATCTCTAAAATATAGTAGGCCTTGGCTAGTCTGAAACAAGCTGAATCTTTTGGGGATTTACTAAAATGCCTGCACTGCTCACTATGTGCGTAAACAATGAAATGCTCCTAAATAAGTATTGACACTTCAAGAATTTAGTATATACAATTGATGCTACTTAAAAATCTCCAGAGCAGTCCTCAAGTGCATGTGTTGCGTGCTCCTCTTTAGATCTGAAATAAATCATAATATTATCTATAAAGATGATTATAAACTGGTCCAGATACTTTTTGAAAACCTTTTTCATTAAATCTATAAAGACCACTAGGGCATTAGTCACTTTGAATAGCATGACTAAAAACTCATAATTCCCATACCTCATAGTAACTGTAGTATTTGCCACATCTTCTTCCCTCACTTTCACTAGATGATAATTAAATCATATATCAATTTTAAAAAATACTAAACATCCAACCAGCTGATAAAAAAAGTCATCAATCGTAGACAAAGGATACTTTTTTTTTATAGTCACTTTACTCAACTCTGTATAATTAATGCACATATGCATCATACCATCCTTTTTCTTCATCAATAGAACACGTGCTCACCATGGAGACACACTAGGATGGATAAAGCCTCAATCCAATAACTCTTGAAGTTGCACCTTTAACTCCTAAAGTTCATTAGGTAACATTTGATACAGATTATTAGAGATTGAAGTAATAACCAAAAAAATATCTATACAAAACTCTTCCTCTCTATCTGATGGTAAAGTAATAACTCCTCAAGCAAGACATCTTAAAACTTGAACTATAGGGACACTACTCACATATTCAGAAGAGAGCCTCATATCTCTGACAAATTCTACAAATATTGGGCAACCTTTTATCCAAAGCATATCCACTTCTAGAGCAGAAATAAGACAAGAAAGAATACTTTTGTTTCCTTGAAATATAAAGCTCTCCTCATTCTGATATAAAGACCCTTTTTCTTTAAATAATTAATCTGAGCCCATATCGACTCATCGTCCATACCCAAATTAACATCAAATATACAAATAGGTAATACTATCTCCAAACTATATCATAAAACTTCAAAATCATAAAAATAAACCCTACTAACTACCATTCCATCTCCCATAGGGAAAACCACAAATAAAGAAATATGTAATAATACATAAGGAAAACTAAGAGAATCAAAATACTACTCTTACATAATATAATGACTAGCACTAGAATTGAATAGAATATTTTAAGGAGATGTAGAAATGTAAGCCGTACCTATCACAACATATGGAGAGTCACTGGCCTCTTACTACATCAGACTATAAACTTGTGGTTGTACTAGGGTCAAAGCAACATAACTACCTACACCATATGACCCATAGAAGGCTAACCTCGTGATACCGGACTAACATCCTGGCTACCAGAAGCCTCAGAATATGGCCGAGGTGGTGCTGCCCTCAGCCTACCTACAATCGGCTGCCTAGAGCCTCTGAAATTAGAACATCTATTGATGCCACCATGTGGACGCTCAACAATCCTATGTCTAAATTAATCATATCAAAAACATGTCTGATTCTCTATAACACTGACCACTGTGCCTCCTACCACATTGCTGATATAATGGGGCCTCCATCACTGAATACCCAAAATTGGAAACACTGCATATATTTGATATAGAAGAAATTTCTACAGACTGCTCCCTGCTTAACTCAGCTGGTCCAAATCTGTTCTTCTTTTCAGTATTGCTATTGATAGTTGTCTCATCGCCAAATCTCTTCTTGCTCATAATCCATTGTTATTGTACTGCTACCAAATCCATTTCTATCCTCTTGGCCATTTTAACCAAATGAGCAAAGCCTGTAATATCCTATTCCAATAGGCCATTTTCACCAATGCTCTTATGAGATATAATATGAGAATATGAGACAATTGAGCACCATTATTTATTTTTTACTAATTATTTTTCAATATATGAAGCTCCTACTATTATTCTTATTGAATAAATTTCTATATTTCACTACATAATTATTTTAAAATTTTTTATAGTTTAATTTGAATATCAATGAGTTATTAAACATTAATCCAATACTTTTCATTGCGTGAAAAAGCTAAGGCTTCTTTTTTTTAGACAATAATTTTTTTTAAAGAAATTTTTTGTATTAGAAAATTATTTAAAAAATTAGATTCTAAATGTAAAGTGATAAGTGGAAAAATTTTTAATAATTAAATAATAAATAGAGGTGATATTTGCAACGCGTTGAAATAATGGAAGAAATGAGCATTTATTATTTTTAATGATTAATAAATTGAAGAAGTATGCAATTTCAAAAATTGCACTGTTCATTCTTTCGTCCTTGAGGGCTAATTCAACCAAATTTTTTCTTATCTATGAATAAAATTCTATTAATTTTTATTGTAATTTTGTTTTTATATGAGAAGTTTAGCTGGTGGCGGGGTGAGATTATATAAATGATTTACGATCCTACGGGCACTGGAGTCCACCATCAAATCCGGCCCCCACTCTCACACCAACGCGGGCGGGCGTGAGAAATCTGGGAGGGAATTCGGCCCCCACCCGCACCCAACGCAGCGGAGAGAACCAGAGGAAGAGTCGCTGGAGAAGAAGAATCGTTTCTCCCACCTTCGAATCTTCTTCAATCTTCCCCTATTCACCCCTTCAATTCCCATTATTTTAATCTTAAATCTTCGCACTCCATTTCCGCCTCAACAGGATTAGTTCAAAAAACCCCTCCCCTCGCTTTTTTCCTTCTCGCACTCCATCTCTGATTTGATGGAGTCTTCGGGATCGGAATCGTAAGGGGCGCGGGCGCGATGCAGAGGAAGGAGATGCATCCGCTGTGCTGCATCTCGATCGACTGCCCTGGGATCGGGGACCGGTCGCCGGAGCCGGAGGAGAGGGAAACGGCTCCTGAAGAGCGGGGTGGGGCAGAGGGCAATGCTGGCGGGGAAGGGGAATCGGATGTCAGCGTTGCTGGCGTGCTGTACAAGTGGACCAACTTTGGCAAGGGTTGGCGATCACGATGGTTCACGCTGAGGAACGGCGTGCTTGCCTACTCCAAGATCCGTCGGCGGGAGGAGCGGTTATACGTCGGCGACCACGTGCGGGTAATCGGCGCCGCGTCCGCACGGCTTTCGCGGGCGATGGAGGACGGCGCTGAAGGGAGGAGGCTGAAGAATCCGGTCGGTGTTGTTTATCTCAAGGTGAGTGGTGAATACTAGTACCGTTTCTTTCTTCGGCTTGATTAAGAACCATCTGGGTATTCGGGGTGAATCGTGAGAAGGCTATAATCAGGTAGGAAATGCTGCCATCGATCCGGATCGGATCTGCTTTTGGCCCTTAGAAGAATTTTCTAAATGTGGAGACTTTTGATACCATAGACACCTCAATCCTTTCCAATTGTGGATGGTCTCGTCTCTCTCTGCTCCCTGGATACCAGAGCGCACGGCTCGGACCAAGAAACGCGAGTGTTTGCCGTCACTTTCTCCTGCCGCTAGTTGTTTCCATCCATCTTGGGAAAGAGTGAGAGTATCCTTCTCTTAGGTGTCCCTAATTGGCGGATTTTCGTTTCTTTGGCCGTGGTTTTGTTGTAAATATTGATTCTTTACCTTTTACCCTTTGGCCTTTGTTTAATTTTACTGTTTCGTTGGGGTCATTCGCTAGCTGTTAATCTGGAAGTGGGTCACATCACGCAGGAGAGCAAAAGCAAGAGGAGGATAGGGCACGATTCGGGGGGACGAGACGCTAGGTCGTATCAAAAGGCTTGGTCTCCTTTGGGGTACATGGCGACGCAGCGTAGCGCACCGTCTCAAGAGACTAGTTCTTGCCTCGGAGGCATTCCTAAGGCCCGTTCCTTTCTTGGGTTCTCTACGCTATCAAGAAGGCGTGAAGGTGGAAAAATATAATTTGACACCACGACAGGGCTTCGAGTCTTGTTCTGCTCCGTCTTTTTTGGCGTCGATGTCCATGTGGTTCTTGCTGGAATCGTACTACAGGAAATGACTTTTAGGACAACTCGTGAATATCTAATAGAGAGGGTTGTATGATTCTTACCACCGACCTCATCCTCAGTCTTCAAAATTAAAAGTTAGAGGTAGAACTACGGCAGATTTTTGTTGTTTTAGTTGTTTCTTATCCAGTTTTTGCAGCTAAATTGCAATCTGGCAGCTTTCTAGTTCGACCTAATTTTTTATTTTTATTTTCGCCATCAGTTGTAGAATCTTTCAACACCTAATGTCTGACTTTATTTTTTTTTTCATTGCAAATGATGCTCCCTTTACAAGCCTTTGAGCTGTTAGACCAAAAAGTTTAATAAGACACTAGTTTCGTGGCCCAGCCTCGGCCCTGTTTCACGCGCGCGTCGTGCTGACTTATTGACTTACAACGTGCCAAGCAGTTTATTTGGCTTAATATTATAGGGTAAGCTCAGCATATCATCATATCCTTCAGTCTATAAATCAATTAATGTGAGAACGCTGTAGTTGATGTTCCAACCTTTAGCCATGTGACGCTGCCAAAAGCCCTAGGACACCATGATCAAAATGCTTGACGCTGCAAATTGGAGCTTACAATAACTACTAACAACTTTAATGTTTAGTTTTTATTATGATATACATATCTCCATGCATATTTTTTCTTTCTTGAGTCTTGATACATCTAGACCCATTCAAACCAGATTGCTATATCGCCATTAATGTTTAGTCAAGCTCCAATAAAAGTAAAAAGATTTCTGTGTAAACTTCATTTGCTAGAACAAAGGGTGAGTGGCATACATTACTTGATGTGTCATCCTAAACAATCAATGAGATCAGGTCAGAGGTTGCAAATTGGAGCTTACAGTAACTGCTAACAATTATAATGTTTCGTTTTTATTGTGATATGCATATATCCATGCATATTTTTTCTTTGTTTAGTCTTGATACATCTAGACCCATTCAAACCAGATAGTTATATCTCCATGCTCAAGAAGTCCCCTCCTCGGCTGGTTTGAAAATGTTCGAACAAATAGTCCTTAAACTCTCTCCAAGTCCATATGGGTTGCCTCGTATCCCTCCACTGGTACCATGTCAACGCTTTTCATTCCAAGCACATCCCGATTGCTGTCAGTCTCTCCTCCTCCATTAATCTATTGATGATATAGTATCTCTCCACCCTATATTTTCACCTATGTGCATCCTCTCTCTCAAAAATAGACATCTTCAATTTCCTTACCATCAAATCTTTTCCATCACCCCTGCGTCCTCTATTTTGATTTCACTTCATATCTTATTCTTTTTTATGTTTTATATTATTCACTCATTAGTATATAAATTTTATCATTTTATGTTTACGCAATCTTTTGATTTTGAGGCTTACGCCTCAAAACGCCTTGAGGCTTACGCCTCGCCTCACGAATGAAAAACGCCTCAATACCCGAATACGCAATTTTAAACATTGGTGCCAATCATCATTTCTCTGCTCGCACCCAAACCCTACATCACAAGCCCACATTTTCCCTTCAAATTCAACACCCCTTCGATCATATTAAGCCCCTCTCCTTTCAACTTCAACACCTCTTCGATCACAATAAAGCCATCACCTTTCACAGTCAGCTCCAATTTTTTTCAAATTTGACGCCTCTTCGATCATAATCAAGCCCTCTCCTTTCAAATTTAGACCATCTCCTTTCAAATTCAACACCCTTCCACTCATGCCCAACCATCTCATGCCTCTCCATATATCCTCAACCCGACTCCTCCCTAGGAATAGGCCTTAGGGGAGGCATTTTTTCCGCTCCCTCCAAAATCTCTACCTCTTGATCTTCCCTTTGTCTTATTGGCTTAGGATTTTTCCCACTTCAATAGCTGCCAGCGGCTTCCCTCCCCTTTGACAGCGATGTTTTTGTTTGGCCCTCTAGCAATTTCTTCAACATCTCCTCTATGATGAAAAATTTTGAGTTGATCTTCTCATGGATGACTGAGATTTTACATTTTAAATATGGGCTTGAGTTTGGAGATCTAAAATTTCATATTTTATTTATCCGATCTCCCCTTCCAATATTACCACCTTTCTTCTCGCTATAGGTCCTCGGATCTTTGTTAGACTTAAAAAATCCGGATTTCCACCCCAAAAATAGAAAAAAAATAGTGGTTGGAAGGAGAAAAAATGTTGCAGGAATCAGCCCAAACAGCACAAAAACTGCCTCGGACACTGCTGTAATACCAATTTGATAGGAAATGCTTGTAGGCACTAGAATTTCCCTTGTTGAATTTGAATTACAGCCCTTGCAAAAATAGATTAGAGAAGAATTGATAGAAATTATCATAAATAAACTTTTTTTATTGATAGAAAAAGAAAGAAAATGAACAAGATACAATGGATCCTCAATTGGAGAGAATGATTCGTCTCTCTCAATCTCTAGCCGGCGGCTAGAGCCCAATTAAACCCTTGGAACTCTTTAAAATTCAGCAAATATCTAGCTAACCCTAACCCTAAACAATCTCATCTATTAAGTCATCCAAAATGATCTCAATTACTAAACAGCTCCTCCCTAAATTAAATCATGCCTAAAACAACCCTTCCTCTTCAAGCAATGGGCCCCACAAGATCAGTCGCTCCTTCTTTAATCCAATCATGTTTAAATTCCCCCCTTCCTCTTCAAGCAATGGGCCCCACAAGGCCGGTGGCTGGCTTGGCTGTCTAGAGTAAACTAGCCCTAGGGTTGGTTCAGCCGGCCCTCCTTGGGCCGGTTCCGATTTAGCAGTTTACCTTTAAGCTCTTTCTTCCACTCATTGATCCAGATCCATATTTGTCTAAGTTTTCTAGTGAAATTAATAATCTCTTGAGCCTAGGTTCTACCTCACATCTTGTAGTGGCCTTTCAATGCCAGAAGGCATCATGAATATCACCTTGGAAATTCCCATGATATTGCAAGTCTTGTTGTTTCCTAGAATCACCATGGTACCATTCATATCTTACATTGACTTAGACCAAGATTTATTTGGGCACATATTGGAAGTAACACCCATAATCAAGAATTTGGTCCTTATTTGAATAGGATTCTTTGGTAGATGTTACCTCAACACCTTTATATCCCTCCTCAATGACCATAATTGGTCCCGATTTATTTAGGTGTCTTCATCTTCTTTTAGGGGCACATATTCTTGAAGTGGTTTTCCTTATGATAGATGAAATTTTTTTTTTCCTTGACCTTTGACTTATATCTTGATTGTTTTTTGATGAAATCACACTTCTTTGTTCTTCCATAAACCATAAGGTTATCACCAACTTTTGCATCCTTTTGATTCTCTACTTATTTATAGTTTTTTTTAATTAAATTTATGTATGATTTAACTTCTATCATAAAAAAATTTATTTTATTATATTGTATGGTATATATATATTTTCTCATCAGGAAGATCATCGTTCAGAGGAGATCTTGCCGGTATTGGGTGTGCTGCTAAGAAGTCAACAAGAGCTTGTCCTTTCACAGCACGTTGGGGAGTGAAAGTGATATCGAATTGAAGTAGTATCATGGCCCATCTGGCTAAACGTCCTGAGAGTGTTGGACGGGTCATGAGGTACTGAAGGGGATTTACCTTAGAGATCAGATTGACTTTGTGAGAAAGCATGTAACGTGTAATGCCTAAGCTTTTAAACAGCAAAGATAAGGCATAAGCAATGCTTTTCAATGGAAGGAAAATTCATTTTAGTAGGAATTAGACGTCTGCTCAAGTAGTATAAGGCATTCTCTTTTCCTTCATTGTTGATTTGGGCCAACAAAGCTCCTAGAGACTCATCTGAGGTTGTAGTGTAAAGGATCAATGGCCTCCCCGAAATGGGAGCGACCAAAATTGGAGGGGACAAGAGATAGCGTTTTATACTATCGAAGGCTTTCTGGCAGCTATCATCCAAATAGAACTCTGAATCTTTCTTTGAAAGGGCTGCAAAGGGTTGGCATCTACCAGACAAATTGGATACAAAGCGTCTTAGATATGCCAAATTGCCAACCTACCCTGGAAAGATCTTAGTTGAGTAAGACTTCTAGGAGGTTTCATTTCTAATATCGCTTTGATTTTAGTAGGGTCAATTTCGATGCCACGGTGTCGAACAACAAACCCAAGAAACTTCCCTGAATCACCCCAAAAGCACACTTCAAAGGATTCATCTTGAGGTCGTACCGACGAAGCCGTTCAAATACAACCCTTAGATCAAACAAGTGATC